AAATTTTGGGGTTGCCGCCGGTAGGCAGATAGGTGTACGAAGGGGCCCGGGGGCCTGGAGATTCTGTGAGAGAGCCGAAGCTGGCTGGCTGGCTATTCAAGGGTTCTTGCCGAGAGACCTTATATAGGGTGGGTGGATATCGACGGGGTAGTAGCGTGATGTATCCCATTCCCAATCCAGGCCCAGGAATGGAGGAGGGGTCCGCTTTTCTGTTGTGATTCGCAGTATGGAAACCCGGGCTGGTCGCCGGTCGGCCCAAGATGTAGTAAAATGGAAGTGGGCGTCGGTGTTGGGTGCCTTGCTACGGATGTGATAATGCGCCGGAAATGTCGATGCGAAAACAAGATCGGGTCCGTGTGGGGTATGGAGCCGAGAGAATGTTGAAAAGCGCGACGGGAAGAAATCCGTGAAGTGGAAGCTGATGACTCGGAGTGTACAGCCCAAGGTTTTGGCGACTAGCGTGAACGCTTGCTCGATACGGCCGGCGTTTCGTGTTCTTTTTGTCTATGCGAAACTCTGTGACTAGACGTTGACAGCATTCGAAAGCTAGACGGAAAAGGTATCGATATATGAAGGCGCCTAGAACAATGCCGAAGGTCCAGCGGGGCAAGACGAAGATGGTTCCCTTGTGCAATTGCTGGCGCTCTGGAAGATTAAGTGGGCATTGCCGTTAGCCACCAGATGCTGGATGTTATTGTTGTTGTGGTTCTTGAATGCTGGGCGCTGGTCGCTTGTTGTCGTGTGTCAGATCGTTCGAGATGGCGTACCGCGGGGTAAAAGTACTAGGCGAAAGGTACCTTGATATCCTTGTTTCTTGACGTGGGAGTTCATCCGGTATTGGTTGGCGGAGCGTTTTGAAAAGAGAAAGAGCAGAGGAAAGAAGCTACCTCTACCTACTACCCCTAGAGGAGGGGAAAACGTACTTGACAAAGTGGAATGTATGATTCGGGTTGGAACTGTTTGCGCTGAAACAACCAAGCATTCACACATCCACCACAGCAGAGAGCTGGTTGAAGTAATGGAAATATTGTAAGTGTTCGAACGCTGCAGTGCAGCCCTGGATGTCTTGGACGCCTCGAGAACACGGCAACAGCTGAATGAAGAGAGTGGATCACTGTTTAGCATGTATGTATGTATGCGCTGGGCCTAGGCATCGATTTCAACGGTACGATGGAGTGAGTGTCAGGTCGCTCATCACAAAAAGAGAAATGACAGGATCCCATCCTCGCATTCTTCCCGTCGACTCGGGTTTTCCGCGCCAATGCGACGACACTCATCTTCACCTTCACCTGCTTCCGGCGGTAGACACTTCTATCCAGTCACGCAGTGCACTTTAGAAAGCCTGCATGAAGTAGTGTAGGGATCAATTCTAACTTGCATGCAGCTACTCTAGTGCAGAGGTGCAGCTATGTAGTGTATAGAGCTACATACATAGCGGGAAATCGCCATCCCCGACATGCCTCTGCTGGATACCTACCTATCTTATCATCCACCGCCAGCACATCTAAGAGCTTCACACATGGCATTGGTGTTTCTTTGTGTTTCAGATTGGAACCTCTGGGATAATTTCGCACATGTTTTGTCGAGATCGGTTCCCTATGTCAGACATTCTGTAAGTAGTACCAACCAAAAGTATGATGTTGTAATTACAGGCCCTTGATCTGTAACGTGGCCTGGCACGACCTGTACGAGCAATCTCAAGTGATATAAACCACAAAAATTCATCTTTAGAATTTCCTATGACATTCGTCAACCATTACCATCTATTGCTGTTTTGTCTTTTTTTTTTGGCTCCCCAATCCGTTGGAAGCCCTCCGCTCAGTTTGTACCGGGAAATCATGTAGTACATCAGCATAGCGCCGCTTCAACGCTGCTGTCTAATAATCTGGTCGCTCCCAGCCATAAAATGTTCCATCAAAGTCTTCCTATCAGGAACCTTCCTTTTCATCCAATTTGATGAATAAGAAGATGAAATCATGAACAGTCACATGATGATGATAAGGACGATGAGTGGGCAAGGAAAAAGGAGACCCAAATAAACCATGACGCCGCTCACCGTATGCGCCAAAGGACAAGGAAGGAAAAAAAAAAAAAAAAAAAAAAAAAAAAAAAAAAAAGAGAAGAGAAAACCCGGGGATTCAAGTGTGCATCACTAACTGCACGAGCAATTTTGCTCCTGAGAGCAAATGCCATGAGTTCGAAACACGCACACAGACACTGCAATGATTGTGCTCAGTTTCCAGATGCACCCCGTGAAAGCATCCGGCTGAGCCCAGCCTCAGCCCACCACTCATCGGGGACATCCTCGCGCGTAGCAAGATTGCGCACGATGCGCTGCAGGCCTCCCATACCGCCCAAGATCTCCAGAGAATCATCACTGCTGTCATTGCGGGTAACATCCGCATACGACCTTCGAATGCTGTTCAAGCTAGGAGCTAGAGGAAAACGAGTAAGCGGGTTCACGTCCAGCTCGTCCTCCTCATCACCTTCCGTGTCGGAATTTTCACCTCCCGACTCACACGGAGGTTCCGCTTCTGCAACTTCTACGGGCGCATCCGGGACGGTGACAGAAGTCCCGACAGAGGGTGCCGCCGCATTCTGCGAGGCAACCGCAGATGCCGAAACGGAAGCAAACGAAGAGCCAGAGCTGGGCGTTAGCGGGTCTGGCGTCAGGGTGGTCGTGAAAATGTCCCAGACATGGTCGCCCTCGGGACTGAGATCCTCGGGACTGAAACTCCGGTTGCGATCTCCCAAACCATCCACTTGCGGCGCGTCAACAGACGGTGCCTGTTCACCTCGGCGGCGACCAGAAATTGCGTCAGGCCTAGGGTAAGGGTTCCCCCATGTGCCATAGAGAGACGAGGCCCGGTCCGCGGTCCGATCCCTGATGCGGCGCAAAGCTGCGCGTTCTCGGATCTACTAATTGTTAGTTGGTGCTATTCGGTTGGCTCAGACGGTGTGTAGGAAAGAAAGGGTGAGCGCATACCGGGGTAGGTGGGCCACGATTCATCTGAGACGATGTACGAGGTTCTACGGGCGGTGGTGGCGGTGGTGGCACTCTACGAGATAGAAAGCCAGGTTCAACGGCCATGTGTGCAAAAGGTGGTTCCGCGGTCATATGCGCGAGGAAAGGGTTGGGTTCGGGATCCTCATCGTCAGTAAGGGCTCCTGGGTACTGGGACAGTGAATGCAGGTGAGCCAACCGCCTGCCAAACAAGGCAATGACCTGGTCATCGAGCATACCACCTATACGACTAGCCCCGTCACGCGTGGTGTCGCGACTAGATTCCGCATTATTTGGCGCATTGTTGCTGTTGCTATCGCTGTTGGAACCGCTTGATCGTTCGGCTGGAGGGGATCGGCGTCTGAGGTTGTCATGGTTGTTACCAGCAGCAGCAGCGGCATTGCCACTGTTGATAGCAGCGGTGATAGCGAGGCGACGTCGGCGTTGCTGCACTCGTTCGGAATTTTGAAGGCGGCTGCGTCTAATGGAGGATCGAGCTTCGGCAGAGTTCTTGTCCGCCGCCGACTTCGATTGGATGTCGGACTCGACAGGCGCTTGGTACAATCTGATTGGGAGGACGGGGCAGGTCAGCGCAAGCCTACAGAGTGGAATAGGGGAATGCGACTGGATCGGTTGCCCTGATGAGGCGCATCATCGGTTTGATGGAAAGCACCATATCGAGCATGTGCGACAGATGAAAGTGACGAAATCGCGGTGGATACATATGGCAAAGGGGGGGATAAGCGCAGACGCGAAACGCCCTGACGCGGTGTTCTTACCGGAGACCCATGGTGTTAACTTGAGTCGCGATGTCGCGACAGACGGTCCGCTTGGGGTTTAGCGATAGAGCGACGCTGGGAGCAAGGGAAGATATTAACGAGCGTGACGGTTGGTGATGGCGGGGGCTCGTCAATGGTCAAGGAAGCTTGATGTTGCGATAAAGAATGCGCCCCAGCCTCTGTTGTGGAATCCTTGCCCGAGTTGGCGGTCGTGGGGTTTGCGGATAGCGGTGGCGGCGGATGATTCAGTCTGCCAGGTGGTTTGGTTTGATCGGAACCTCAACGCGCGAACGAAAGGGGAGAGGACGGGATTGCAGGCTTCAGGGGATTGCGGTTTTGACAGGACGGAGAGATGAAGCGGCTGGGCGGCCCGGGGATCTTCTCCAGGTTGCAACATGCCCCATTGGAGCCCCATGGCCCCAGGGCGATAGGGCTTAGTGCGCTGAGACATTTCGGTCTGACTGCATGTCAGCAAGAAAACTATGCGCTTACAAGAGTCCATGCGCTTAGACCGTTTAAGTAGGGAGATTTCGTCTTCGAATTATGCATCATAGAGAAAACTGCGACTTCCTTTCCCATTCAGCTAGGATATGTGAATCAGGGGTCCTCCTTGCCTCGCTTCCTGCCCACGCAGATCGACTTTCTACGCCCCGCCATAAGCATCCGCCGCTGATGAGCCACTGCAGTATCCACAGCTTCCCTTCTGGCTGCTCACTGCATTCAATTGAGCTCTGCTTCTTCGAAGAGAATGATGACGGGACTTGGCCAAGGACCCCAGGACTGAGATCGATCCGCATCGCCACCAATCACCTTCACAGTCACTCTGTGTGTTTTTCTACATTGTTTGTGCATGTGAGTGAGTTAATCACCAGTCCACCATCGCCATGATTGATCTCGGACTGGCCCGCATCGGGCGTCTTCTTCAACACACGCCGCAGACCTGGAAGGCCATCCACGTTGCCGGCACCAACGGCAAGGGCTCAATATGCGCCTATCTCTCGGCTATGCTCAGTGCCAGCGGTGTCTCGAGTGCGAGGTTCACCTCACCCCATCTCATCGACCGCTGGGACTGCATCACTATCAATGAGAAGCCCGTCTCCGAGACGATATTCCGTCAAGTCGAGGGCTTGGTCAAGCAACGGGATCAGGACGAGAAGATCGGGGCCACCGAGTTTGAGCTCCTTGCTGCGACCGCCTTTGAGATCTTTCACCGTCTGAAAGTTGAGTATGGCGTAATCGAGGTTGGTCTCGGCGGGAAGCTGGACGCTACCAACATCATGAAGCACAAGTCCGTTACCGTCATCGCAAAAATTGGTCTTGATCACCAGTCTTTCCTAGGAAATACGGTTGAGGAGATCGCACTGCAAAAAGCAGGCATCATCCGCTCCGGCGTTCCCTGTGTCGTCGATGACAGCAACGAGTCTTCGGTCCTGAAAGTGATTCAAGACCATGCGAAAGAGGTTGGCGGCGTAGAGCTGCACTATCCCTCATCAGATTCCGCCCTGGTGCAGGTTCTCACCGAAGAAGGCTATGAGCCGCATCAAGTTCAGAATCTGGCGTGCGCGTTGTTGGCCTTTCGCTTAGCGTGTCCGGATGTTGACCACTCGATGAGTCGTCTCCTTCCCATCGTTAAGCAGCTGCAATGGCCCGGTCGTCTGCAAAAAATTGATCTCTTTCCCATCACCGGGCAGCATCAAGCGGCTCTGCTGGACGGAGCCCACAATAGCCAGTCGGCCGAAGTTTTAGCTGAGTATGTCAACAAGCACTACCGCTCGCGGAGTCGATCAATTACTTGGGTGCTGGCCGCTTCCAGGGGCAAAGATGTGGACAGTATTATGTCCCATATCATACAGCCGGGTGATCAGGTCACGGCTGTGCAGTTTGGGCCAGTGGATGGAATGCCGTGGGTTAAAGCGGAGGACCCGGCCAACTTGGTCCACCAGGCGATCCGTTATGGCGTTGATACTCAAACTACGCACAACTCGGGAGATGATGTACGAGCTGCCCTGGAATGGGCATCCAAGGCTGCGGGAGATGAGCCGATTGTTATTGCTGGAAGTTTGTACCTGGTCTCCAGTGTCCTGCGTCTCATGCGTGAGGCGGAATCTGACCAAAAGGCGTGAGGTGTGGTCAGCTGAGAAAACTGGATATCAAAATTTCCGGGCTGGTGTTTGTTTTGATTGAAAAGGGGTATTTTACAACCCCCTGAATAAATCAACTAATGTTTTCACACCCATTTCTTCATCACCTTGCCAATGTCTACTGCGTCTGCCCCAAGCCAAAAAGAATCACATGATCAGTCATATATCGGAAAAAGGCGGTCAATCTCGCCAGTAGATCCATCTCTTCCTTAATCTCACATTCACCCTCACCATCACCATGTTATCACCACCAAACCACCTCATCATCGTCTGCGGCCACGCCATCTGGCTCGGCGGCCCAGAAAACGGCTGGGACGAATCCGAATGGCTCATTGAGCCCTACAAAAAGGGCGAAACGCCCACGTTTATCGCCCACATCAAAGCAGGCCTTGAAGAACTCGCAAAAGATGACCGCGCAGTGTTGATGTTCTCTGGGTTCGTCCCCCTACTGGCTTTCGACCTCCGTCTGCACATGACTAGCTAACTCCCACACGAATAAAAGCGGCCCAACCCGCCCCGAAACGCGCCTTTCCGAAGCCCAAAGTTACTACAACCTAGCCCTCGCCAACTCCTTCTTCGACCTTTCGCCTTCTTTCGGCCCTTCCGCTGCCCCCTTTTCGAACCGTATCTTCTTGGAAGAACGCGCCCTGGACTCCTACTACAACATCCTCTTCTCCCTCATCCACTACTGGCGCGTCGTCCACCCTCAGCACCCTCAGCACGCCTGGCCGGAGCGCATCACCATCGTCAGCCACGCCTTCAAGCGGAACCGGCTGGTGGACGGGCACTGCGCTGCCATTTTCGGTTTGGACTCCTCCTCGTTGGAGTTGGAGGAGAGGGTGAGGTTTGTGGGTATTAATCCGCCTGGGGTTGGTGGAGATGGAGTTGTTGAAAGGGATAAGGAGTCGAACGAGAAGAAGGAAGCTATGCAAGGGGTGCAGTTGGCTTTGGGACAGTGGGCTGAGGATCCGCATGGGGTGGGGGAGGAGTTGGCTGGGAAGAGGAGGGCGAGGAACTGTTGGGGGGTGGATCAGCGGTTGTTTTTCAGTGAGGAGGAACGGAGGAGTAGCGGAGTTGAGACGAGGATTCTGCAAGATGGGAGCGAAGTGCTGGTTGATGGGGATAAGCCAAGGCCTTGGGCGAGGTGAGAGATGGCATCATGATTCTGTAGTCTACAACTCTGTGGAATGGTAATTCTACAGCTAATCTGTAAGGCAAATGGGTAACTCAAAGATCTGGTAGGATTGTTGATTCTGATGAGGAGAGGAAAATACCACTTCAAGGGCCTGAGGCCCGAGGTTTATATACAAGTTCTGCCGTGCCAACCGGGCTCCCTATCAGCCCTGGGCTCATCCTCTGGGAATGCCCTCCTTCCTCTGTGGTCTTGACCTCCACCTTGCTGTCCATTGTCACGACGGCCTCTTTCTACACCCAGTGCACACATTTTCTACATGGCCATCGCTGCCTTACCACATTGTGAGTCCAGTGAGAAGGCAGGTTGGCTGATCTGGCAGCGCAGCCATTCTCTTGGTCTCGACAGGTGATGTCCACTCTCCTAATCAGTGACTTCACATCTTCGACCTTCCATTCCTCGCTTGAGCGACTATATCCGCATCAGCGTTCTTAACCACCTCCATCACCCATTCAACCGCATCCTTGACCATGCCTACGCTGAAGGTGTGCCCAACTCCCGCATAAGTCCTCTCATCCACCGAGATCCTCGCCTCCTTATACTTATCTGCGGCCTCCTTGAACCACCTTGTGAACGCCTCACCGCACCGAGGGGGCACGAGTTTGTCTTCTGCGCCGTTGCAAAGAAGAAACTGCTTTCCTTGCAGACGTTCAAGAAGGATTTGCCGTCTTTGCCGTTCATCCTCGTCTGTTGTGCTGGGTGAGGGAGAACCCGATGACGACGTGAACGAGGGAATGGGAGCGGTGCCAAACAGGATTCCCTTCGGGTCCGTCTTGCAAGCGGCCGTAACCAAGGAAGGAGGGAAGTCTTTGCTCCCCAGAAAGGTGGCGGCGCCGGTGTCGGCAGAGTAAGTTGATAGCTTGGAGAGACGGGCACGGTCGGTGATGAGGTCTATCAGGTGGTTAGTTGCTATGGTATTTCCAGAACGGAGAAGAACAAGAACAGACTTACTCATAAAATCAGGACATCCAATAACCGCCACACCAGCGCGCACTCTTGGGTCCGCAAACATGAGTTGCCACACGCTGTGTCCTCCGAGGGAGATGCCCAAAGCAAGGTGGTGGTCAATCACCTTCCTCTGCTGTCCTTCCTCTGCGCTATCATGGAAGAGGTACGACTCCACGACATCCCTAGTGAAAATAAAAAATTTCATCAGTCACAGTTCCAACTTGCACACCCGGTCACATCGACAGACTCACAACAAAACCGTCTGATCTCCCACCATCCCCACAATACCCCCCAACATATCCTGCGCATGCGTCTTGTTTCCCTCCCTCCACGCTCCGTTCGCCGGATCATGCACCAATCTCGTCCCGTGGTTGCGCTGGTCGTATGCCAAGGCGATCAACCCCCTATCCTTCTTCTCACTTTCACTAGATTCGTTCCAAGCACCGACACACCGAGCCGCGATCTCCCGCATGTGGTCCTTGTTCCGCGTCCGCTGGTGGTGCAGCCACAGACAGGAGACGCGAGATACGCTGGCGGGGAGCTCGTCGAGGCCGTAGACGTCGACGAGGAGACCGGCCATGGGGATGGTTTTGAGGGAGATAGGAGAGACGGGAGGCAGGCCATCGCTGGAGATGCCGCCGGAGTTGGCGGCGGTCTGAGACATTGTTGCGGTGGTTGCTATTGTCGACGTTGTTCCTCTGCTGGTAAGGGTTTGAGGTGTAAGAGTTTGGTGTGTTCGGATCAAGGGTAGATGTTGGGCGTTGGTGACAGGTAAGGAGGAGTTTCACGGCCTGGGAGATACGGACGGATGGAGCTAAAAGTGGCCGAGGAGAGATGATGGAAGGCTTTGAATGGAATTTCAAAACAATGGATAGATGAGAAATTATGAAGATGAGATCAACTGATGAAAGCTGGAACTCAATTACTTGAAACAACACAAAGATCACTTTGACACTCGGTGGCGTTGCACCGATGTACCGGACGTTGTTATTAGCGGAGGAGGTGCGGTTGGGAGGTACCCCACCCGAACGGCACCGGTACGGCCCACGGGAGAGGAGCTCTACAGGCGGGGTCGGAGAACCCTTGGGAATTCCATTTCGATCTAATCCACCTGGCCATAGTATCCAGCACTAATATTCATAAATGCTAGTTTATATCGAGTTTCCAACATGAACTATCTCCTCTATAAGCATCCTGTTATTTTCTTGATACCAGTACGGTTTCTCGATGGTGTTTAGCCGTACATGCATCTTGCAGGATGATAGCAACATAGGCCTCTCATTGTTCATTTGCTGGTCGGTAGAAGCTCTTTCTACTAGTGAATGAGCAGCTTGGAGAAGAATGAAACATGCTTTATTGACTATTTGTGAGATGTTCTATGTCGCCCGATACCGATGGTACCGGCGATGCGGACCGGCCCAAACCTGAACGAAGCGAGACCCACCCGGCATTGGCCCCGCTTTAATTCGGGGTAGGCTTCGGTACTCCGGCCGAATGTAACCGCTCCGTGTTCCGGTAACAGCGTTGCTTTTCCCAACCAATCACAGAAAGGAATCTAGGCAACCGCAGGCAGCCATGGACTTCAGAATGTAGTTCCTCTTTGTTGTTCGTTGAAAGTTTACTGTACTGATTGTAATTTACCCTAAACAGCTTCCTAAGCATCAATGTGGCTATAAAATGTTTTCAAAATTTAAGTTGTTCAACTCCGTAGTGGTAGACTTCATCCAATCCAACTCTTTGATTCTCGGACATACCCGATCACTCGCGAGTTTCACCGTACAACATGGACACCTTCAAAGATGATCCTCTAGTCCAAGCCGTCACGGCCTATGTAAAAAACTACATGAGCAATTACGACGCGTCTCACGACTGGAGCCACATCGAGCGTGTCGTCGGGCTATCGCATTACATCTACGCCAAGTCCGCCAACAAGGACTCACTCGATCTTCGCACCATCCACCTTGCAGCCCTCTTACACGACGTCGGCGACAAGAAGTCAGTTTCTTCTTGTCTTCTTCTTCTCCTTCCTCTCAGCCTCACATACCTTCTCGCTCCAATCTGAACCTTATATCCAACCTTGATCTCACCTTTCAGTGGACACCCCTCAAGCCTCAATTCGCATACTTACCCAAAACCTTGCTAACATATTGGGTACAAGATACTTGAAAGAGTCAGAAGACCCCACCACTCTCATCGCTACCCTCCTTACATCGTTTTCCTGCCCAGCCCCCCTCGCCTCCAAGATCCAAACCATCTGCCTCAACGTCTCCTACAGCACCGAGACCAAGAACCCGGCCAACCCAGGTTTCATCAACTCGCTCATTGAGCAGCACCCAGAGCTAGCCGTGGTACAGGACGCGGACCGACTGGACGCCGTTGGCGCGGTCGGGTTGGGACGCATGTTCACGTTCGGCGGGGCCAAGACGGGGAGGGACATGGCTGGGAGTATGGAGCATGTGGACGAGAAGCTGGTGAGGTTGGTGGACTTGGCAAAGACGGACGTGGGGAGGGAGTTGATGAAGGAACGGACGGAGAGACTGAGGGTTTTTCAAGGGTGGTGGGAGGAGGAGGTTGGGTTTGTTAGGAGGGTTGGAGAGGGGAGGGGGTGATGAGTGCCGATTTAGATGTTGTTGAAACGACGGGAATGGGAATGTTGAAGACGATAAAAGGTTAGGGTTGATTATAGACGGCGAACTTCCTTTACTGATTGATCATGAAAAGCAAGTTACAAGATGCTTGTTGTATTTCTGAATGTGCTACTTCTATGATGTTCGCTTCTCATGTAGACTTTGGTAGACTTCGGGGAATCATCCCTTGATCATGTTTTGTGTGCACGGATGCCACTCCGTCGCCTTACCAGACACCTGCGCATCAGTTTAGCTCAGCCGATTGTCAGTCAAACGAATGCATGACTGAACAGCTTGGGTAAAAAAGAATTGTGGCGGCCTTCATCGGGAGCAACAGCAGCATACCTACCACGCTCTGCAGCCTTCAAAGGCCTTTCCTTTCCAGTATCAATGACAGGCCAGAGCGACTTAGGTCCACTCATCGTATGTCCTAGTGTCGGATTGAAGCAAACCGGGGTGGCTCGCCGGTTGCTGTATAGCTGAAATATTCGAGCAAGGATGACCTTCAACCAGGCTATGTGACCTGCGCTATGATTTTCCTCCCTTCTGAACTGACCTAACCCGATTTTGTTTTAAAAAGAATAACGCCTTCAGCGCCGCCGTAGAATCTTGGTATCGTGTTCCGAGAGAATGAAACCCAGTTGTAAACACCAATTGAATGAAATCCGAAACTGGAAGCCGTGAATATTATGCTCGTTTTGGAGGCCTATCCCAGGCGCTATGTTGTTGTCGTGCCCTTTCTCAAGCTACTCTCATCGTACACCAAACTACTTCACCTCTTGTCGGCACCCGGAGGCCCTTGACCAGGGGCGCCAAAAGGCGGCATACCGGGAAACGCACCTGGCGCACCGGGAGGGGGGAAGGGAAAGTTTCCTGCTCCGGGTGGGGGGAAGGGTAGACCTCCTGGGGGCGGGAATGGCAGACCACCAGGACCGGGCATCGGAGGTGGTACGCCAGGCATACCAGCAGGAGCGCCAGGCATACCAGGGAATGGGGGCATTGGAGGCATTCCGCGAGCTCCTGGCGCTCCCGGAGGAGGAATACCGCCGGGCACGCCTGGGGCACCAAAGGCTCCGGGAGGGGGCACCGGCGCGCCACCGGGCATGCCTGGGAACGGAGGAGGCATGCCGCCAGGGAAAGGCGGGAAGGGGGGAACGCCGGCGCCCGGGGGCGGGAAGCCGAGGCCGGGAGGGACTCCGCCGGGTTGGTTCTGCGGGAGCATAGGATTGGCGTGGGCTTGGCCTTCGGCGGCGTACGAGGAGGTAATCGAATCGATAACGGATTGGGCCTTTTCGTGACCAATCTCTGTAAAACAAGATCGCATTAGTTATGCGGTGAAGTCGGCAATGGTGGATTGGGGGCTGGTTGTGCCATACGTTGGTAGTAGTCAACAACGTTTCGTAGATGGTTACGACCGCTGTTGTGCGCCTTGCGGACGCTCATGGAATCGTGCGTGAGGTACACATCGCAGTAGTCGCAGAAGACTGTACAAGATGTCGTCAGCATCGAGTTGAAGATGAGCGGTCCAAGCAGTACTCACATTTTGGCATTTTGGTAGATTGTGATCGCGAAACCTTCCAAGTCGGGGTTATTCGAAATCTCTGTGGCTGCCCTCGGAGAAAGTCGCAAGTTGGATGGCAACAACAATACGGCGCGCGACAACGACGAAGACAAAAGAAGGTTTGCAAGGCTGAAGTGCACTGGACACACACAATGGGACGCGATGACCAAAGTGGATCCTCTAAGGCTTCCCCAAAAAAGCTCCCCTGATCGGTTCGCGGCTACTGATTGGCACGGGCAACGAGGCACTCTTGTCAAGCCGTTGTGGACATGCTCCAGACCTGTCTCAGCTGTCCTTGCCTGCCTGCCCAAAGAGAAGCCGCCAGATTTCCCCTAGATCCAAGTCGCGGAGCTATTCCCATTAATACAGACAGCCCACCTTCCACGACACGACCAGGTCACTGCATAGCTTCGCCGGACTGTGTTGACCACTCGACGATACGTTCGAACTTTTTTGTCGGCCACCGCCCAACGTTCTAGATCATCCTATCAGTCAGCGATCATGGCATCCCTAAAGTCGCTGCTGAGCGGCTTCCTGCTGCTCGCCGGTTGCGCGCAAGCTCTCAAGTTCGACCTTGAGGCTACCTCTTCACACCACAGCAACCAGCGACGATGCATACGGAACTTTGTCAACAAGGACACATTGGTGGTAGTAACGGCTACGCTTGACGGATACAAGGGCGATGGCATGAACGTCAACATGCACGTAGGTGCTCTCCCTCCTGGGTGCAAGTTAAAGGGGCTAGGGGATGGATTATGGGGCGGTCAATTACATGGACGAGTCTGACTTTGGACGCGACACAGATCTCCGATAGCCACGGAAACGAGTACGGCAAGGCCAAGGATATTGCTGGCGAGCAGCGCATCGTCTTCACCTCGCATCACGACGCGGCCTTCGACGTGTGCTTCGAGAACTATCTTACAGGTTGTACGTACATCCCTTGGCCATGACGAAAATAAGCAAAACAACCAGCATAAGCTCAGAGGGGAAACTGACAAGATTGCGATGATCAGCCAAGTATGTCGAAAACCCCCGCCGTCACGTCGAGCTCGATATCGACATTGGTGCCGATGCCAAGGACTGGTCCGCCATCCAGGCCACTGAGAAGCTTAAGCCGCTCGAAACCGATCTGCGCCGTATCGAGGAGCTGGTCGGCGAGGTTGTTAGCGAGATGGATTACCTGCGCGCTCGTGAGCAGAAGCTCCGTGATACCAATGAGAGCACCAACAACCGTGTCAAGTGGTTTGGCATGGCCACCACTTTCCTCCTCATTGCTCTTTGGGGGTGGCAGATTATGTACCTCAGGGCGTACTTCAGGTTCGTTTTCCCACCTAGCGGAGCAAATAGCTTCAGTTACTAACATGAGTTTGCTTAGATCTAAGCATCTTATTTAATGGGCTGGGTGTAACCTACGATAACGACCCACAACTACCACTGTCCAAACTACCTTATTTATTATACGGCTTCATGGTAACGACGGGCGGGAGGTTTTATGAACTCTTTACTACACGCAACGCAGGCGAGCGAATGGCATACAATAGGTTGGAGATCTCTGGTGTAACTATATACGGTAATGTGTTTCAGCCAAAAAGTTATGGAGTAAAAAGGAGAATTGACTGCATGCTGAGTGAGCCGTCTACTTTTGAGGTTCAAGACTATTTGAGAGCGGAAATGTGCCCAGTGCATGCCAAGAGAAGTCGCATCCAAAAGACCTTGTGGGCGTTGTTGTGGTGATGAGTCGAAACATGAGCAATTGGCGATAGAGGCACTGGAGACGGTGGCGATGTCATGGATTAATGACGAAGATGCGGAGGGATGAACCGGAACTGGCAACAATTTTTCGGCCTCGGACCCCATTGTATGTATGATCACTTGCCAAGCCCGCCGAACTAGTGTAAGGGACGGGGTATTGTAGCGTCTGTAATCGGCCCCGATCGGAATCCTACAACAATTCCCATCACTTCGACATCCTCATTTATAAGCCGGAGCAGTTACCTAGTTCGCGCAACGGCATCCTCTCCACACTACCCGCTCCATCCGAGCGATTTACACACCTAACCTTGTCCGTCGCTCTATTTCGGCTACAACAATCCGTCTTCAGTCAGTTCGCCAAAAGCACCTAGACAAATCGTCGCAACAATGGCTTCCTCTCTTCGCGCCCTCCGGCCCGCGGCCGCCACCTTTGCGCGCGCTGCCGCTGTGCGCCCCGCCTCTGTCGCCAGCAGATACGTCATTGCCTTTTCGCGATCGGCCAGCAACGACAGCACAGATAACCAGCAAAAGAAGGACCTCGACGTCGGCGAACTGCAAGGCGCCACCTTCAAGATCGAGCCGCTCCGGAGAGTCGGCGAAGACCCCGCCACCATGCGGGCGCGTCTTCTCTGTACGTTTATATCTCTCCCGCTACCCTTATCCTCATCTACATGTAAACCCAACTAACTAACTCCCCTTTCTCTTTTCTTCCTCCTCCTCCAGACCAATCTCGCAAACGCGGCACACTCGAATCCGACTTGATCCTCTCCACTTTCGCCGCGTCCCACCTCGGCTCCATGACGCCCGAACAACTCAAGCAATACGATCTGTTTCTTGACGAAAACGACTGGGACATTTACTACTGGGCCACTCAAGAACCCCCCTTGCCCGGCCAGGAGAACCAACATCTCCAAAACTCCGAGGAGGCTTTGTCAGAGAAGGAACAGTTGCCGCCTAACCCGCGCGCGGGCGAGTGGGCACAGACGGTCGGCACCTTTAAGCCGGCGTACCGCCCGGTCCCGGCTAGGTGGAAGGGCAGTGAGATTTTGGAATTGTTGAGGACGCATGTCAAGGAGAGGGGGATGGGCAGTAAGGGGGGGATGGCGTTCATGCCGAGGTTGGAGGAGTATAAGTGAAATCGGCAAAGAGATGGATGGGCCCAACCCAAGATGTGAAACATGGGAAAGGTGGAAAGCGAGATGTGGGAGGCTCTTGGACGTGGGCGTGGACGTGACGAAACGGCCTAGTCAAATGCCTGCGAGCTGAGTTAAGCTGAAGCCCGACTACAGATGAGGAGGACGAGGAGGAGGAGGAGCAGAAGAAGGGGAGTGTACGATATTGTATTTCGGTACAGTTGTGTACCACTATATGGGTCAACAAAAGATGGACTACAGGTAGATTCTGGATACAAGGACGAGGCGAGCATATCAAGCGTGTGGGCTTTACCTATGAGGCGTAGGGCGGGATATCTATCTCCATGGTTTGGGCGGAACGAGCTGGCCGCGCTCAGCTTTGCTTTCTCTTCGTCACTTCATGGGCTCCGGTAGCATACTATACCAAAGCCAGTACGTATTAACACAATGTTAGATGTCGAACTGGACCAAAGGTTGAGCCGCTGAAAGCAAAACACGAACAGTCACTTTGGACCGTCCATAATGTGGTTGTTGATGTACTACATGGAGAAGACATGATATTGGGTACCGCGCCACCGGGACGGCAAATGCTGGGTCAGACCACACGCCCCTAAGAACGCTTTCAATTCAATGCTCTTCCCCACTCCCGACCTGAATGCCAAATCTGCAAGCCCAATGGTACCCCATGCGTTCTTTGAACGCCATCGCATATGCCTTCAAAACCAAATCTCCCCGCCCTTGCCGCCCATAGTACTCCCGGTCCCGAAGGAATTATCGCCGAGGTCATTGAATAAGAACAACACATAGAAAAGAGAAACAAAAAGGGTATCTGCAAAACGTGGGAGAATTCCCGGTTTGATTCCTCTGCTTTACCCAGACTCAACCCCCTTCAGCAGGCAATATCCTCCCCAAACTCCTTAACACCTCAATAGTCGGCAAATCCCTCGTTCCCACTCTTCCCTTCTCCCTCTCCTCCCGCTCCTTCAGCCGGGCCGCGCTCAGCATAAGCACCTGATCCGCCTCGCGGCCCGCCGTCGAGACCCGCATGTCGAGCTTGTGCACGCTATCGGCCAGGTGGTCGATCTTGAACTCGAGCGAGGACTGCACATTCTGCAGGCGCGATCGCGTCCGACGACGGAAGGAGCTGAAGGCTGTGTCGGGCTCGACCAGAGAGGCAAGGATTTTGGCTTCCTCGGCGTCGAGAAGTGACGGTTCGGGTAGTGGTGCTTTGGTTGGGTCGGAGTCGGGGTATAGCGGTTCGAGGTCTGGGAGAGGTTTGGCCAGGGCTTGCCAGGCTCTTTTCTCTTCTTTTAACCTGTTTGTGGGTTGGTTAGCAAATGGTTATCAACAGGTGGGTGTCAGCGAAGAAAGCTCGTACCTTTTGATCTTCGCTTCGAGTTCGGCAATCTTGGCGTCGTGCTCGAGATTTCGCGGGTTTGGTTGTAGCACCACGGGGGGCTTTGATGCTTCCTCTCTAGCAAACCAATCCGAGAATTCTGACCTCGCTCCAAAATCCTTGAGCAATTGGTCTTGTATCGCGCGCGCTGTAAACACCGTCAGCAATTATTGCCCCACGCGCACCCAGCTCTAAGAAAACCTTGTTCTGCTCCTTACCTCCAAGAATTGCACTAGACCCATGACTCCCATGCGGTGGCTTCTCACTAAGAGCCCTTTCGCCGCACCACGTCAAAAGCTGCCTCATCCGCCTTGGCTCGCTCAGCCCCTCAGCTTCGATATGCTTGTAAAATTCGGACGGGTCGACCTCGCGATGCGGTATCGCACTATGCCCGTTCTCGATCAAGGAACTCGCTCGCCTTCCCCTCATCCCTAGACTGCTCCGCCGACTGCCGCTTGCACCGCCCTTCTTCCGCATTTCTTTGTTCCGGTTGATGATTGGCGTGTCGCTGAGTGGTAGTACAATTTGCTGTGGCTCTGAAGAGCTTCCTCTCCCTCCTCCTCGTCCTCCTGCTCCTTTCCGGCCCTTGGTCCTCACATCCCTTGTGTCGTCGATGTCCATTGGCGTCGCCCCAACGAGATTTGGCCCATCCTCCTCCTCCTCCTCGTCCTCCGGTTCTGGTACCGCGCGCATGCCGTTTACTGGTCGCGGTACCTCGTCATTCTTCTGTTGTTTTGGTGGGAGGCCTTTCCGACGTCCTCTCGATTTAGAAGCAGCATCCTCCTCATTCACGGCGGATACCGCTGCTGAAGGCGCGGGTGCGGGCGGAGGCGCAGCAGCAGCAGCACCACCATTTGATTTTCGTTTCGACGTCCTCCTCGGTATCGGTCCGGAGATCTGCTGCTGTTGTGCGGCCGGTGGTGGCGGCGGAGGCGACTCTTGCACAGGGGATGATGCGCGCTTCCTTGCGCTATTCTTTGGGGGTCTGCCGACGGGCTTTTTCGCAGGCACAGATATCACCACCGGTTCATTCTCGGCGTCCTCTAACGTGGACGCTGGAGCTATTAGTGTGGTTCTGGCTCTCTTTGAGCCGCGTGTGAAGAGGAAATCGCCGTCTTGCTCGTCATATACTGCCTCGGCTGCGTCACGTTTCGGATTTGATGTCAGCTTTCATGTTTGAATCTCCAGAAGGCCGAACAATCACATAATGGCATTGGATTGAAGGACGGATTGCAGCTTACCCGCAAGGCGTTTGCTGCGCCTCTGGTTGCTGCTCATGCTCAGGATTTGTAGCGGCTGACGGGTCCGTACGACAGTCGTCATGGATGGCGGGTTTTGAAGTACATGAACTCGAATGAGTCGGAGCTGAAGAGAAGGCCGGGAGGTTTGAGAAGGTCGTCGCTTGCTTCGCAGATCCTATCGTAAGTTGGACGGCGGTGGATATTAATCGTGATGGTGATGTTGATGTTGGGTTGCGACCGGGTCAAACCGACGTGAACGGAGCGCGTCTCCTCCTCCCCAACTTGAATATGACACTCAAAGAAATGGTGCCAAATGGCGATCTGACGGAACCAGGGGGCCTGGGCGGCGGCTGAGTGGGCAGGCGGGCCACGGAGCACGGGTCACGGACGCGTCAATTCGGGCGGGCTTTGGATCTGGAACCTGGGGAGCAGTTGGACCGGTCGGTCAAGTGTGTGTCGCGATGCGGGGATGCTATGAGGATCAGGCGTTACCAAAAATGACTGAAATCGGGTAATTCGTCTAAGGTATGCTGGTATTGTGCAATTGGTCGTATCGTCTTATCGCCGTCCTAGGCATTCAGTTTTGTCGCTGTGCTGCAAAGCATGGTCGCAGGTCTGAACGTGTTTCTTGGGCGCCGGGCGCGAACCGAAGTTGCGACCCTTTCGTTGGTTTGTTTATCGCGGGCAGGCTGTTCCAAGAAACGCTTGGACCACATCCCGCATACTCAATCCCAGTGCTCTTTCTTCACTGCTACCCCACATCCTGCGAGGCTGAAAAATAGTGTATTTGACAACTCATTCATTCTCTCGCTTCGTCTGGCCACACCATTGGCTGGGTTATAATGTCCAGCTCTTGGCAGTTAATACGCCTGGTGGCCCGCCTGATGCTATCGTCGTCTGACTTCCGCTCGCTCAGATCAATCTTCAGATCGAGGCTCAACTGTCCATACACATACTCGCGACCACCTTCCTCCATTTGCGGTTCACTTTTAATCTTCGAGATAGCAGACGTTAACAAGCTCATTTGTTCCACTTCATCTGTTATATTGCGTTTAGATTATTCTTTACAGTAATGTGCCCTGTTAATGCAAGGCCCCCCTTTTGCAAACACATACAAACTGACCCATTAGATGCAAACAATTCCTTGGGCCCGGATTCCCAGTTTTGTATGTGAGTGAGGTACCCCTTAATGCAAAAGCCCCCTTAATGCAAAAGCTTCGAGCCGTCCCCCATAGTGCGGGAATTAGTTGCATTAACAGGGCACATTACTGTAATGCATCCGTTTGTTGAAAACTTCTCTACGACGCCACTGCCCGGAACTATCCTCCTGATGGACGCCAGAAACTGCTGCCGCGAATAATTGCAACACGCTCATTGCCGTACTTTCAGCAAAATGATTCTTCTTGTGATGCCTCGGGCATGACCGACCCAGCAAATACTGTCGCCTGTCTTGCCTGCCCCTTCGTCTTCCGGGTTGTGCTACGTGCCTCAACATTAGCCCGTATCCGTAGGATGTATCGATCATCTTGTCATGTTGGACGGCTTTGCAGATTGCTTTGACTTCGATGGCGATCTTCCATACAAATTCGGACTTCAAGCAGTCATTCGTGTGGTCTTCTTTCCCCCATCACAAGCCCAGGGATTGATTATTGTATGGTTGTCATATTTCTCTTGTCTCGTATCTCGCAAGATGATTCAATCCGTCAACATCACAATTACCAGGCATCTCAGTATGTTTATGCGCCTTGAAATTTCCATGCCAGTTTCCCTTGTTGCCTACCAGCTGCTAGCTAACCGTTGCCTGAAAATACACCGTCACAATGAACCTGCTCATATCGTGAGAGGCGCCTCACGGCAAACGCCAATGATGTACACGCCATATAAACAAAGGATAATAATCGGTTCCCGGTTGAGACAAGGGGCATCAATCCAGGATCACTAAACTTGCAGCTTCTTGTGGTCTTCGCCGTGACCAGAATTAAGAGAGCAAGCAGACCCCGAACTCACGCCCTTGTCTTCCGCTTGATACCGCTTTACCAAATCGCTTTGAAGGAAAAACGCCTCACCAAATTGCCTTCCTCCTCCCGCCCTCCTTCCTGTCCAGCCGTGTCCAGGTTCTTCCTCTCCTACCACACCAAAGAGAAAAAAGTTGAAAAGAAAAGCTAACAGAAAAGCAGCCCTAAACACCAGTGACGCCAGTTTTGTATGCCCCTGAAGACACCACATAGATACACAGACTAAAGGCCAGAGGTAATGGTGCTGCACCGGTTCAGGAGACCCTTAGCCACCCCTGGGTTTCCATGAACTTGGCTAGCAAGATGCCTACTGACCAGAACTCATACAATGCAGAGAATGGAAATGACTGTCCTTTGTTGTTTATGGTGCAGTCTCTAGAATCCGAACGTCGTAAGAATGTCGCGCCCTCCGTTTTGCACGCCGCCCAATGTTATTAACGGAAAGGACAGCCCGCGAATGATCGGACCCAGTTGAGGTTGGATGGTAATTATCGTCAACGTGGGTGACATCCGAAAGGTCAAGTAGGTTAAGAAGAACGACCCTCATTGTCGAGAATCGTTGCCTGTTTCATCATCCAATATTGTCTCAACCACCGAAGCCCCTCGCTATGAGAATCGGCGAGGAGCAACATTCGGCGGCATGCCGACGGGCTGATTAGGTATGCCAGCTCCCATACCGTAGGGGTTCATCTGGTGACTAAATGGCTCGATGGCTTGCTGCATGAACGCGCCATGGAGACCTTGCTGTTGCGTCACTGGACAGTCCTTGTGTGCGAGCAAAAGTGTCTTGAGATTGACCACTTCTTCCCGAAGCTGTGTTATTGTTGCAGTAAGGGCGTCATTCTCTGAACTGAACATCTCCACCTTTTGCTGGAGGTTAGCGAGCCACTGTTTCTTACGCTGCCGACATTTCAGAGCGGCAACCCTACAAACCGTTAGTATCAAGTTTCTTCCAATGGCTAACATGACGAATTTCACATACCTGTTCCGCTCCAGGAAGTTCTTGCGCTTTTCTTCTTCCGTCATCTTGGACTTTGAGCCCGTTCCGTCATCCTTGCCTGGCTTCGACTCGTCTTCCGAGCCTGAGTAGTCCATACCGTTGAGTGAAGAAACAGATCCGTTTGTCTTGGTCTTTTTATTGGCCGGAGTCTTGGCCGGAGTTTCTTCAGCCTTGCGACGGGAACCCGTCGTCGCTGCGCCTGTGGAGTTGCGCTTCCCTTTGCCACGGGTATTAGGCCTGGCAAATTCACTGTCGTCTGACCCGATGCTAACTTCACTGACACCACGTGCTGAGCTTCCTGCAATAGATACGTTCCCATTCATTTGTGGTGAGGTGTTGACTGGTTGAACAGGAGGAGCCGGCACAGTGTGCGAGTGACTTGATGGAGGTGGCGGAGGTGCCGACACCACGTTATATGATTGGCTTGGTGGCTGGGATGCGTTTCGTCCCTGTGCTAACATGAAAAGACCATTTGCCGCGTCGTTATCATGCGGGTCAAAGGGTCCAGTCGGTGGCTTCGTCTCAGGCTTCAGAGGCGGAATGCCATTGGGGATATCGGAGGCTGGTTGTGACGTAATCGATGGCGGTTGCGATTGTTGTTGATGCTGTTGTGCTGCCTGTTGTTGGGCCTGGGCCTGAGCTTGGGCCTTGGCGGCAGCGGCACTGATGGCGGTTCGGTGGAAGTCGATGGTTCCAGGCGTGGCAGCAGGGCCGGCAAGTTGTGCAAAGAGAGTCGAGTTAGGACTCGGGGCAGGGAACATAGACCCGCTACCACCAGGCGTCAATCCTGTTCTGAGAGACGATTCGTTTGGCGTTGGGAAACCTCCGCGAATGTGGTCGCCAAAATAATCAGAGGTCGTTGGGCCCGACAGCATTGCCGGACTCAATGGGCCGGATCGCAACGAGTTGCTACCGCCCCAGGGGAAAGGTGTTGAGCCAGGAGGCAAGATGGATGATGGGGACGCTAGGGCGGCGACGGGCGGGAGCTTAGTACCGCCGGGAGTCTCGGGGGCGCCGCCGAAGGATTGCTCAAATGGGTTCGGCTCCAGGCTCAGGGAGCCGCTGATGGGGTTCTGTGAGAAGTAGTCGGAAGGGCTGTTCGTGGACTGTTGTTGCGCAGCGGGACGGGGCGGAGGCGCGAGTGGTTTGGCTGGTTCGGCATTGGTCGTCGACTCGGATGGCTTCAGGGGAGGTTCATGCTTCGATTCGGGGTGGCCATCTAAATGTGCAAAAATTGAGTTGGCAACGATGTCTCTCCTGATGTACGGTACGAGCCGTTGACTCTTTCTCTATCTCTCTATCCTCCCTCTGCAGGGACGTAACGCGATAGCAGACGGGATGACAGGGTGCTCGACGACGGGAATAGGTGATGACGGTCGTGACAGGGAAGAAGCGACTCTACTCACCTTGTCGCGGTGGGGATGTCTTGTTGGATTGCTTAGGTGATTTGGACTCACCTCGGCCAGCGGCTCCAGTAGACGACCCCATGATGTCAATCCAAAACTTGCGGCGCCTTCGTGCTGCAACGGGTGCGGGTGCGGATGCGAGCGACCAGAGGCCAGAGGGACACGACGGGGTGGGAAGGGAAAGTTGCGGACGACTATGAGGTCACAAAGGCGCAAGAGAGAAAGTGTAGGTAGAGGGCTGCACGCTATGTTCGTAATGCAGCGTCCTGTCCGCCTCGCGGCTGCGTTGCTAGTATCGGGGATCGTAAATACCTTACGTAGTTCCTCGCAACAAGGTGTTTCGTATGTGTGTGTGTGTGGAAGGAGAAAAGTCGAAGGTCAAGACTTGGGACAGACGTCAGGTATGACGTGGGAAAAGAGATGGCGCAAGGGAAATAAAAATGATGGGGCCCGCTCCCCGTCCAAGGCCCAGTGAGTAAGCACTGAGTGGCTAGTTGCCAGGTGCCAATCAGGGCAGCCAGAAGAGGGCCACGACCGAGGACTGAACGCCGGGTTGAAGATACCCGACCCCCTGTTCGCCGGTTAGAGGTATTACTAAACAAAGGCCAAGGGGTCTGTTTTTTTTTCTCCCTTCTCGGTTTGGGGGGGTGAAAGTAAGCGCGCGACAAGGCAAAGAGAACTTGACGGGACCACCAGAGAGTCCCAAAAAGAATTCCGACAAGGCGAGGATAGAAAGAGCTTCAGTTTTGGCAGCTCGGAACGCTATCTTTGGGGCTAGGAAAGAAACCGCACAAAACTCGGTTGGTGGGAGGGAAAAGTGGATGGATGGGATGGATACCCGTCAGAAAGGTGTGAAATGGGCCGGTATTTTGCGCACTGTCAACCCCGTGGAGGCTGCAGACTTAGAAAATGGTTCTTGTAGTATCGAGACAGCCAAACAGGAGGCTCCAAGAAGCAACCACCGACCGGGATCTGAGCGGGCCATACTCCACGGCAGTACCAGCAAGCACAGTCTCAAGCTGAAAGACTGAACTGTACCTCGAAGTATGTATTGACTTCGGTGTTATTTCCCATCCATTAATTCTTCCATCTCGACAAACGGGATTAACTTGCCTAACAGGCTGGATAAACTGGGTAATTCCATAGGTACCTAATCTTGTGTCTTTCCCTTTTCATTTGTATATATTCTTGGAGTGTCGTCTCAGCTCAAAGCTAGCCATGTGCTGTCGGCTTTAGAATGTGTACGGCAGTGCATGAATGGAGTAACTTGTCGACTTTGGAATGGATTCGGCCTGCCTGAAGACTGCTTGGGTCAGCATACCTCTGCGCACACAGTCGAGAATTGATGTCTGACGAGTATATGATGGAAGGCTTCCAGGAAGTCTCGAGAGCATGGCTCTTGTGGTGAATCCTCACAAAACCCGACAGCAGTTGAGTTTGGCTCTTCGTTTTTTTGCGACAACAAGAGGACGCTGGTATGTACATCTGCAATCGCAAACCGGCAGCGCATATTGATTGAGACATTTGCGTTCCATGTCATAAACCGTTGAGGTGGGCAAAATGTCTCTTAAGTCGTGGGTGAACAGGGATACGCCTTGGAGGTCAACCAGGGCACACAATTGCGGCAGGTCTGCCATGGCAGGCGTTTCGTGATTTTGCCAATTGCCCGTCCTGTCTTTCGTGGTCAATGAGTTCACATTGTTGGAAACTGTTTCATACTTTGTTTACGCTGCATCTTTCTTTGCATCTCTGAGTTCCACCACAGGCATTGATCATAAGAAAAGCCGCAAGAGATGTCGGCCCCGGGCTCCTAACTAGATGGTTGGTGTTCTGACGTTGTTGGCGCATTTTTTCTATCTGGGCAGAAATAAAAAAAAAAAAAAAAAAAAAAACCTGGTCAGAGCTTGTAGATTGTTAGTGCATAGAAGTGCCTGTACAGGTAGGTTCCGATCTTTCGTTCGACTTCTCGTTCCTTTTTAGGCTTTTTGACATAGCAAGCTGCAAAGATTCTTGCATACACGAGTTTGGATCCAGCAAGTCACTCAAAAAGGCCCCTTTGTGGTAGGCTTAGTTGCGAAAAGCAGCATTCCAGCCAGACGTCTGCTGTCGAGGAAAGCGGTTGGAGGGTTGTGGTTTTTGCGCGGTTCCGGGTTTTGGGATGCACAAACATTGTCAGGACCCGCCTGGATACATACCGAGTGCCCCTAACTCCGGTGATGCTCCCCAACCGGCGACACGGATCTGAGCATGGGCAATATTTTCGACACGGTGCCTTGAGGTACCAGATCCACCGTACACGAGCTTCAGGCGCTCAAGTTGCATCGTGCGCTTGCAGACCAGAACGGAAAACACGCAACCTCGCCCACGACAAAAATTGATGATACCCGTGTCCACCACTCAGAACACAACACTCAACCAAAGACCTCGCACATCAACGAACTTGAATACTGCGTATATTCAATACTCACTGATCACCCGGTTTTGGCCATGGTTCTGGCGTTAAAGCCGCCCAGCTTTTCGCTGGATGCAGGGTCAAAATATGAACTCCGTCGGGTGTCATCAATCTTGTCCCGGGGCGCGAGCCAGCCCAAGCCTTCAGCGGGACCCCTGTGTGCTTGACTCGTCCGACGGCAGGATGGTTGCCGTATGCTTCTTGATGGTTTCAACCGACACACGACCGCCGGGAGCAGATTGCTAGCAACTTTTGTGCCTCTTCCACAAAACACCACACCCACTTACGGGTGCCCGTTGTGAGGACAATCCTCTTCACTCATCACTGTATGAAGCATGTATACATATCTCCGGGACGACGAAATTGTAATTCGCAGTTTTGGGTTTACAAAGCCCGTCACATGGTCAGCAATGATGGACATTGTGGCAAGTAGTCCCGACCTTTTTGAACAAAGAAACGATCACGATATAGCCGCTCGCGTGTCAACAGCCAGTGGTCTCGAATCACTGATAATCAGGAACCACAACCTCACCGCTCTGGGCCCCGTCTCATGGCTTGCATGGACGACGGCTACCACACCACACGGTATATCGCGGAGTGAAGCAGGACGAGAAGGTTTGGAAAAGTGGGACATCGGTGGCAAACTGCTTTCATCTTCTGCCCAATCATCGACCTCCATCGCATCTCTATCATTCCCACCCTTCAAAGTTCACAATGCCGTCCGCTTTCTTCCTCACGAGGCCCTGTCGGTATTATAGGTTGCTCCCGGACACCCCAAACTTGTCACGCGAAAGGGACATTGCGTCAGACGCTAGACTGGCGCGCAATTTCTTTCCAACATTATTATGTTTTTTTTTTAGGGCTCGCATTTTTGACATTTTATCTCTTATTTACGGCCCCCCCCCCATTCTCTCTCTTGCCGCTCCTTATTTTTCCAAACCAACCCAGTACGCCCTGTTTCGTTTGCCCACGCTTGCTGTCTTGTCAGGCCAGATCAAGACGATTCGGATTCACGGTGCGCTCAAAGACACCTCGACAAAGCAGCCAACTAACGTCCAATGCTTCACAAACTATACACTCTGATAGTACGCTGCAGCACGTCTCATGTACTCAATTAGCGATCGTCAGAAGCATTCCATTCTGTGCTCGATCGGTCGATTTCACCGTGCCCTATTCCAGTGCGTAGGCGTTCATTGTCAGATTTCCAGCAAGAGGAACAGGGGTGGCGCTGGTTTCGTCCGACTTCATTGGCATCAATGACGTAACGGTGGGCGACACAAAATAATGATGGAATTCAGTTGGTGAGTGGTCTTGGAAAAACTGAATGAGGTCGGTCTTTTTAGCCGGCGAATTCGCACGGTGTTAAAAAGTTCCCAACTCTCAGCTTTACCACTGAATTTATTCGCCTGCTGGCTTTGCAACTCTCCAACTCCCAACTCCTTCTGCCAGAAACAACAACAACAACAACTGGCCCATGCCAGCTGCTAGTTGCCGTGGTCCCCGTTCTGTCTCTCCTCGCCTCGCCGTCGCCTATTTGCCAGGCTGAAATCCAAGTTTGGGCGGATGAACAGATCCGTCGCGCGGCTCTGGGAAAATATACTATGAATATCATCACCAAAGTGGACTCGGGTGCTCCATACAGACGGGAGGTCCGCAGTTGTTATCGGATTTTGGCGCGGTCATCGGGAAATTTAGCGCCCTGCGCTGTTCGTAAGCAGCCAGCCCTGTGGAATAGCATTATTCCCATACCGTTCACGGTTGGGTCATTATTTGGGGGGAATAAAACTGATTTGGGTGTAGTGCTCTGCTCAATTCAGCCAACCTAACAGTCTGGCAGTCAAACCCCTTTTTTTTTCTTTTTTTTTTTTCTTCTCCCTTCCCATATACTCTGGCTTTCGCGTACCCCCGTGACTACTATGCAGTATACTCGTTAGGTTAGACCCCCTGTGCCCCCTATGACGCACTTGCATACCTCTACTTAGGTAGGTAGTGTAGAAATTGGGCATGCACGCTTGCACTGCATGGACGCACCAAGGGGCGCCACTTGGCCCGCGCGACCACGACTTTGAAGCGGAGAGGCTTCCACAAGACATCTCATTGGCTTCATGTCTTCACTTTGTTTCCTGCGTCCCGCAAGGCCAGCACTGGCGCACAACCGCAAGACCAAACGCTCCAAGAACATGAACACACAAGACGCCCATCCACGATTTCTTGACAGATCTTGACTCTTGCTTTGTCGCGCCGTTACTGAACGAGCCTCCTCTCGAATAATTGGTCATTTATCATGGCCTCTGCTTGGTGATTGGAGAGATCTGGATCCCGCACCGTGGCGTCTCCTCGCTGCTCCCCTCTGGCGATGAAGGATTGGTCAACAGCTCTTGGAAAATTAATGGTTCAGGGTCGTGTACACGAACCAACGGGTCGACAACTTCGAGAGCAGTACGACAAGTACGCCGAACCGGTACAAAAGATTCACCATGGCCAACCTCTGGAACAGTGTACACTAGTCCCCGGGCGAATCAGCTTCCCTTTTCGAACCACCTTCTCTGACGGCACCTAAAACTAACTCTTCAACTACAGCCACACAGTAGGAAATAGAGACGCACGAAATGGGAAAAAAACAGTGGGAGAAATGCCTTCTTTGGGCGTAAGCCTCCGAAGTCAACCT